TTACTTTAATTAATATATTTATGTATAAAAGTAGTGTAATGTGTGTTTTTTTTAATCATTTTTCAAGTCTTAAAAATAATTTACAAACATTTAAATTAAAATAAAAATATCTAAACAAGGATTGGGAGTTCCCAAGTGTCTGTCTCATCCCCATCCTAACTCAATCTCGAATAAGCAGCGAAGGAGAACGGAATACCCCTGCGATTCCTATGGGCAACAAGCCTAAAAATGGAATTAAATTTTTTCCGACTTTTACTGGAATGGTAGACTGTGGAGTTGGAAACGTTTTTAGGGTTGGTTTAGGGAATCTCCAGAGTAGAAAATCAGTTTGTATTTTGGTGATATACAATAATAACGATTAATATATTTTGTTAATGATTAAAAATTAACTAGGGTTATGCATCAATCAAAAACAATTAAATATTTATCCCTTGTTGGATATCCATTTTTTTTCAAAATATATTTTATTTTCTCTTCTTTTCAACCACACATTTTTAACAAAATAATATTACACGTAATACAAAATTTTTCCTTATTTTTAATGACACATTTTCAATCAGTCTACTATTCCAAAATGTATTCTACACAAAAATTTGGATTCATACACGCCCTTAGATTCACAATTCATAAACACTAAGTCCATGTTTGAGCCATATTAAACTATTGCAAAACTCATTTTTCAATAAAAACGGGGCTCAAACTAGGGCTAAATAAGATGAAATAATCTTGTATGCATCAATAAATGGACAATTAATACTTTAACTGCCAAAAAAATTTATTATGACAATAGTAGTTTTAATGTGGGATAAAGTAGGGCTTCTTTATTTTAACTTTTAAAAATAAAGAGTGGATTTGACTCTTCAATTTTAGAGAGTCAAACTCACTCTCTATTCTTGTACCCGTTGGACATAATTTTTAAAATGTCAAAATGAGCTTTTGATATTCAAAAGTTGCTTTTATACCATTTAGCTAATTGTATGAAAATGTTAGAAGAGATTTTATATAAAGTTGGTCCAATATGACTTCACTAATAAGCAGTTTCAGAATAGAAAGATCTTTTTATGAGTTTTCAAACAAAAATAAAGGTGCATTCCTCCAAAAGTTCTTCTACATGAACTAAAAGAAAAAATAAAAGTCATATCAATCGAGCACTTAATATACAATG